GAAGTTTTGCTTCTTGTGCATACATATTCCTGCTTTAAGGGATTAGTAGTTGGTTTGTTATATCCCAATCAAATTCTTAGTTGTTTTTTCCCCAGAGATAGGGATGGAAGAGTTGATCTGCAGCTCAAATAAAGCAATAGTACATCTGTCTGTTTACGGGCTATTCCACTCCCATTAACCTCAGTGACTCCCTCCAACCCCTCAATCTCCTCAGATTAATCTTTATTGGCTAAGTGACAAAGAGCTTGCTGCACTCTAAAGCTTTAATGTGTGGCTGCTTTGATGAGATTTGATGCTGGACAACATTTGTATTTATTTTCAGTAATTTCCTGCTTTCATCCGGCTGGACATACAGTATCAGTCCAAAGTAAAGTACACACAACTTATTTTCTATTTTCATACACTATAAACTGTACCTTATGGGTGGCGGGTATTCATATTATTTTGTACACATACACAAACTCACGTACACAACATCTGCCTTTATCCAGCAAGGTTTTAATGTTTAGCCAAAGTTTTTTGCAACACTGATAAGCCGAATTATAAAACTTTGTATGTGTTTTATTATGTGCATTACTGCTTCTACTAATAATACCAGCCTACATTCATAAACTTGGAACAACATTTTAGGGCTTCAAAGATCAACTTGCAATAAAAGACACAAATGAGCACTTGTTCTTTGTGCAAAAATAAAAGTAACTAAGTTTGTTTGACTGGTAAAACAGGCTCAAAGATCATTTATAAAAATAACTTCTGCAAGACCACAATTTGATGTGAATCAGTCCATCCTCAAAACAAATTGCATGCACACCAAATAGCAGCTTCTTATTTGTCTGACACATGCACACTACATATTCTAGATGCATGTGGGCGTAAAGACAAGCGCTCCGCTCACAATGCATCTGAAAGCATCAATATCACATTTCCTGTGGTCTTTATTTCCATGCAAAAGCAAAAGGTTTAACCCTTTTTTACTTCTATGCGCCCTCCTGAAACAACAGATATTTTAGTAACGTAAAGGTTATTGTTTATATATTCAAAGTACAGAGTTTGGAACATACACCAAAACTGTTTTTTTGTTTCTTTCCTCTCCAAACTTCATACAATTTCCACCGTCACCTGCCATTTAAGACTGACATGTAGAGCTCCATTTACAGAGTTGAAATGTACTACTCAAACAGGCTTATAGTTACTTAACTTAAATAAGTAATAAATGAGAAGCATTGCTTTTGTTGAAAAGAGTTCAAGAAAGTAGCTATTTTTAATAAATAGGTTATACTGTCATTTAATCACACATTATTATTGCGAAAATCCCATTGTCGCACGTAAGTAATAACCAATTCAATCTCTCTTCAGTCCCTCTTAAGAGATGATTATATTTATCAATACAACCAAGTATTCTAGGGTTAACTTACAAATGATAAATAATTGCAACTGGAATATCCTCTTGAGCTGTGATTCTTTCCCCGTTTCAACATATCTCAGGCAATAATGAAAAAATAAAAGCACATAATGACAGTAAAACTTTTGAGTCAAGAATGTTACTTTATAATGGTTCAAGCACATTGAAGATTACGCTTCTTTAAATTATAATAAGTGCCACATGCTTACAAAAGAAAAGAGAATAAGAGGACACAAGGTTTTAGTTGTAATAAATCAAAACAAGTCTTAATTCACTGACTTGACATTCTCCTTCATCACAAATATCTTCTCAATGATTTATGAAGTAATATGAATGTGTGGCTGAACTTTCTCCTGTGCAGCAATCATGTCCACAGACCCACCCGAGTCAGTCTAATTCAGGTTACTGACGTCTCTTATCTTCGCAAATGACCTTTGAAGGGAGAAGATAAAGAAAACAAATTGTGTGGGAGGCTGTAGATGTGGTTTGTGATATTGCGTTGCTGCAGAGAAAGTTCTGAAGGGAAAAACAACAGCATCTGCCCCCACACTGGTCCTTTCTGAGAGGTGTCACTCTTTCAAGGATTGGGGTTTGCACACACTGCACAAATGCAACACACTACTTTTGCAACACAGTGATTATATTTATCTATTTTAATATTATGTGCATGCCCTTATCGAATAGTGTTTTATTTGTTGTCTCTATCTTCACTTTTGCTATAACACTGTACATTTCCACTCTAATAAAGTTATTCTGATTCTGACTTTCACTAAATGTCAAGAAATATTACATTGCACAAAGTTCTGTATCAGAATGTCAGCTCACAAGAGATGAAAGACTAACAATAAGACTGTTTTGTAGACATGATTGTATTTATAGGTTCTCCAACATTTGAAAAGTAAATACAAGAATCTGTAACTTTATTTGATATTTCATGTCTTTATTTATCTGTGATTGACCTGCAGTATGTGATAATAATTTTGAATGGTGAGATTATGAGGAATTTAACAGTAGAATAAAAAAATCCTGGACAACCAATATGTTTCATTTATATTTAAACAATCTGGAAGAAGAATGGGAACCACCAAAACGTTCTTTCGCAGCTCTGATCAGGAACTCAGATGACTTGAAATCTTCCTTCTTGATTTATGCTGCCCTCTTTTGTTCAGTATGCGAAACAGAAAATTGGCTTGTTATGATGAGTGAGTCGGACAGTGTTCTCACTGACAGGCAATAACAAGTCCAAAGACTTGAGATGAAAATAAAATATACAGTTCATGGGAATTTACCTCATTTAAGATGAAGAAAATGTAAGCGCTTTGAGGAGTCATAAAGACTGGATAAAGCACAATATTAAAACACATTTCTTTAACTTTTAAATTCAGATATACTGCACATACAGTATTCATTTATTTTCACTTGTCATGTTCTCATTGTGTTTCGATTTTGTATATCCATATTTCTTCTAAAAATGTTTTACATTAATACTTAACAGTGTTTACTATGGATTTAGTAATATGTATATATTTGCTCTTATTTTACAACCTAATTTATCTTACTGTGTTTATGTAAGCACCATTTTACACCAAAGCAAATTCCTTGTTGTTTAAACCTGGCAATATATCTAATTCTGATTTTGATTCTGTATTGGTAAGCCCAGCTCAGTTGTTTCCTCTTTCTTGGTGGACAGTGATCAAAGACCCCAGTTTGTAGGGATGTATGCAGCATTGGTTTGTCCAACATGTGACATAGATTCTATTAATGGTGGTGTGTGTGATGCTACAGTAAATCAATCAGTGAACCGATTCATTTGGGAAGGGCAGCTGCTGTACAATCAATGCTTCATGTGACAGTCACACTGATGCAGGCTGCTGTAATTGCTTTGCACAAAAGGAATAGGATATGAGGATACCATTTGTAAACCAAAACAAATGAATGAAAACATTCTTGGCAGCCAACTGGGCAAAGACAGGGCCAAACAGCAAAGAGTGAAATCCCCCTTTGGACCCTCTCTGAATGCAGGCCTATAGTCTCCTTTTTATTAGTTTACACAAAGTGGCAAAGCAGCATAGATTATCCCCCTAAAAGCCCCAAGGCAGCCCTTTAAGTAGTAATTTACAAGTGTACCTGCTAAGCCAACATGCTTGAAAAGATTAATAAATCTAATTACAATAATCAGATGAAAATGTTGATAAGCTTTCTCTGGTAATTCTCAGATAAATGCAAGTGTATACTTTACTGTGCCTCAAAATGCTGAAGAGAATTGACCAGAGGTCAGAGTCATGTGGGCAGTTATCGACAGTCACTGTTGTGTCAATGACGGCACTTTTTCTCACCCTTTTCTAATCTATTATAATCTCTTTTATAACTGTGCTGCAGTGCTGATTCATTGTATATTGATAAGGGATTGAGTTATCATGAGAACAGGGTTATAATGTACAAGACTTCAGGAGAAACAGTGATCATCGTGCAAATCGAGTGTCAATAGGTCATTTAGTTGAAAACTAAACTTTATGTTTAAATGTTGAAAACATGTATCAATAGAAATAATTACACATATCAAACTATTATTATATATACGCCCAACTATAGGTCTTACTGGGATGTGATTTGGAGTGAATTTGTACTTGTATGCACAGGAGCCAGGTATGGAGGACAGATCATGACATATGTAAGTAACAAATAAATAAATGCATTAATAAAGAATAAATACAGGAATAAATACAGGAATAAAAAAATACATGAAAAAATGAATAAATATGGAAATAAATAAATGAAAGTATAAATAAAAAGTAAAAGTTGAGAATAAAACAGAACATGCATTATTATCATTATCATACTATTATTTATATACAGTCTATGATTATTATATAGCTTTAATGTATTTCTACATTAATTTTCAGTTACATTTATATATTTATACATTTCTGTGTCTGTGCGTGTTTCACACAATGTTGTTCTGCTTGGTAGCCTTGTATTCTGTGAATACAACAACATTTATAACAAATGCACTTTCAATTGCTCTGAAAGTTGTGCACGTGTTAACAAATTTGAGTTGCCATGATATTTTATTTCACTTCCTCTGACTAGTCCCACTTTTATTTGAAAGCTTTGTGTCAAATTTTACACGAAAAAAGTTCATGTGATCCAAGGATTTCAAATCAATCCTACCTGCACAAGCTGCTGTATAGCTCAGTGGTTAAAGCAGGCATTCCATATCATTTTTGGTAGAACTTGACTTTATGACCGATGTATATTGTAATTATTGATGTCTTACGTATAGATCACTTTAATGTTACAGTACAGCTTGGGAAGAAGTGCTTTTTATGTTTTTATTATACTACGCCTATATTTAATGCCATGGCAGATAATGAACCTCCCAAGGGATCAATACAAATACAATATATATTTTTGTTGATTATGTTTTGTATTGTTAATCTAAGTCTGAAACTTTAGAGTTAACAAAGCTAACAAATACATGTGGTGGTTTTAGAAGTAGGCTACACCTCTACACATCTAGATTTGTTGAAAATCTAGATTCTGCATTTCTACATACGTCATCACGCAACGCCGAGTCGACATCATCAACATTCGCCAACAAAGCATGGCGTCGTGTTGCTGTCATTCGAAAGAGGATGCTAACAAATCTACGGTGTTTTTGAACATGTGAAGTGGCTCCATAAGATTCCCAGTTCGCTAAACTGGTCTCGTTTTCTTGGTCTAGTATTTTCTTTGGGTTGTAATTCTTGTCACGGGACTCTAAGCTGCTATAGAGCCGGTTAAAAACAAAATGCTCTCTGTGAAGGTCGCATATTTGGCTTCGGCTGCGTCCCGAGCAATCTCAAATAGAGTCAACTCTCGTACATTTGTTATTGTGTCGGCGTACTCTCGCCTTCATTGTCCTGTTAGCCAGACTCGCTTTTATCAATCAGTAGCTGCGCCGGAAGAGACTGTTATTCGGATCCCTCGCTACATGCAGAAGCAAGTGGAAAATGTGAAGCAGACTCGAGGTAAAAACAAGATCAACACCGTCAGAGCTGGCAAGCTGCTGATCCAGAGCAAGAACCCGGATCTGAACCAGACTGCAGCATACACTCTCGGGAGGTTCGAGCAGCCCGTCCTCTCCTCGAAAGGATGGAAACACAACAAATCATTTGGGGACTATTTCACCATCAACAACATGAAGACGGTGGCCCCTTTTGTTGCTGAAAATCAGAATGAAGAAGTTGAAAAGGAAGCACCTGTGACGTTTAATAACCTCCAAATCTGTAAGGAGCTGGTCGAGACTTTGGAGAAAATCGGTATTACCAACCCTACCACTGTGCAGCTGCAGACCATCCCAAAGGTCATGAAAGGTCACAATATTCTCTGTGCTGCGGAGACTGGCAGTGGGAAAACCTTGAGTTACCTCCTGCCTATTGTTCAGAGGCTAATGGCTGATAAGGAATCGGAGATGTACGCTCAGGGCACACGCAAGATTGGTGCTGTGGTTCTTGTGCCTTCTAGAGAGTTAGCAGAGCAGGTGGCCGCTGTGTCCAGGGGTTTGTGTGCTCAGTTAGGTTTACGGACGATGACTGTGGGGGGTGGGCGAGGTGTAGGACACATCAAGGAGGTCTTCAAGAAGGATCATCCGGATATTTTAGTGGCCACACCAGGGGCTCTAGTGAAGGCCCTGCGGAGACGCTGCATTGACTTGAGCGACCTGAGCTTCTTCGTGGTAGACGAGGCTGACACCATGTTCGACCCCAGCTTTTCTGACATGCTGGAGAGCATCCTTGTCAACACAAACATCTCTAGAGATCCCAAGGAAACAAAAGGCCTGGACCATAAAGCCCAGCTGCTGGTGGTGGGGGCCACCTTCCCTGGGGGTGTGGGTGAAGTGCTCAGCCAGGTGACAGATCTTGGCAGCATGGTTGTTATCAAAAGCAAGATGCTGCACTTCCTCATGCCTCATGTCAAGCAGAAGTTTCTGAAGTTGAAGGGTGCTGATAAGATCCTGGAGCTCAACCAGGCCTTGAAGCAGCTCAAACAGGAAGAAGGAGGCGGTGCTGCGGTGGTGTTCTGCAACAAGAGTGTCACCGTCAACTGGCTGGGGTACTCGCTGGACGAGATGGGGGTGCAGCACGCCCGTCTGCAGGGGGACATGCCTGCAGCCGTGCGGGCAGGAATCTTCCGCTCTTTCCAGAAGGGCAGTGCAGATGTGCTGATATGCACAGACATCGCTTCACGTGGCCTGGACACATCTCGAGTGCGATTGGTCGTCAACTATGACTCCCCAGAATCCCACACGGACTACATTCACAGGGCAGGGAGAGTGGGGAGGGCAGGAGGGATGGAGGGGGGCGAGGTGCTCACCTTTGTCACGCATCCCTGGGACGTGGAGCTGGTGCAGAAGATCGAGACTGCTGCACGAAGGAGAACTAGTTTGCCAGGGATGGAGTCTGAGATACGAGAGCCGAAACCCAAAGAGGTAGAGACAGAGGAGTAGATGAGTCTTTTTGTATGTTTTCAGATGTAAAACCCTCCAGTGGGACATTGTATGTGTAGTATTGGAATGACAAAGTCTAAATGTGCAAAACATTTTAAGCAGAATACAATTTGATCTAAATTTAAAATAACATTATAAATTGTACCTATTAATAGGGATATGGAAGAGACCCAGTGTGTGCGTTATTTATCAATTTACGATTGTCCTAGTTCAGGGGTGTCCAAACTACGGCCCGGAGGCCAAATGCGGCCCGCGGACCATTTTGAATCGGCCCTCAGCAAATTAAAAAAGTATAATGAAATATGGCCCACAAATGAAACTTGTCTTATATTGTACTTCTTAAATATAAATGTAAAAATATATTACACAGTATTCATGTGTTAATAAGTTAATTAAGTTGGAAACATGTTCTAACATATCTTAGTTGATAAGAAAAAAGCCCATAACAAGCTTGAAATACACCCTTCCTATTTCTGCTTATTATAATCAATCTGAGGTTTCTGTTTTAAGGGATGAGCTGCCAACACTCACAAGCATCATTTACCTAAATTTGATTGATTTTGCTAACTTATAACTTAACTTATGAGGCAATAAACCTCTAGTGAGTGGCCCAGCCCTTCATATATTTTTTCTGTATGTGGCCCTCGGTGAAAAAAGTTTGGACACCCCTGTCCTAGTTTGAAAAAATATTTTGCCATAGCCGATACATTCTGATGTAAATGTTTGTTTTCTGCAGATTAATCTGCTCATCAGTTGCTTATTTGGATTTAATATACTTCTTACAATGTTTCCAATCAACTGACTTTTTTTGTTTGTGTTATTTTTATTAATTTTGTTTTGTAAAAATGTTTAAACTTATAAGTAAAAATAGCCTTGAATATTTGTTTCACTTTTTTTCTTTTACCTCAACTATTGATTAGAGCCATTTGGAAAACAGGTGAGCTTTGAACAATGTACTGGTCCTTTTCTTTCTCCATTAGCAAAACATTTTATTCCTTAGAACTACTGAAAACAGAGTTGACCCGGTTGGTGAGTGTAAATGATTGTCAACTGTGCAACAAAGTAAAGTTTTTCAAATACAACCGGTTAGCTTTTTTGCCACACCTAACCAAATACCATCCAGGGTGTGTTATTAAAATGAGCTACAGTGTAGTGAACATTGCAACAAAGCATGACAAATACTTGGTCTTTCTCATAAAACCTTTAAGGTTAACATTTTTCCTTCTGTGATATGTACTGCATGTATTTGACCACTGGGGGGTGGTATTTGTCTAATATTAGTTTATGTGCATTCACTGCACAGTTGATAGGCCATACCATGTATAAACATGTTTGTGCTTTGTGCTAAATACAATTAACCGGGCACACGTTCCCCTAACATATCTGAAACGGTCACCAGCCCACATACTAGTTTCTATAAGGACTCATTATCTCTCATGTTAGCAGTACAGAAACACTTCATCAGAACTAGGCTCTTATCATTAATCTCCTGTTAAATTGAACACAGGCCAAAAGCTGACATCTCTACTGTTGATGTGGTCTGCCTGCTGTACGTAAAAATGATCCCCACCCCTCTCTTCTATGCCTGCGGGTGCTTGTTGAAAGGAAACCTCAAAAGTGTCAACATGAAAATCTTTCAGACTTAAAGAAAAAAATTGGGATCCTATTTCAAAGGTAATACCTTTTCTTTTGAGTCTGGTTTAGTAGGTGTTGTTTTAAACTATTTTTTACATTTATGCGCAGATGACGTCCTTAGACATTTCTGCCTGGAAATGGTATGTGCTCTTATTTTGAAAAGGCTCTCACGTTGCCATGTATTCGTGACTGATGATTTATGTTGGAGTGTCTGGAAGTATAGAGATTATAGTTTGCAGACAGAGGGATAGACGTGTTAATGGCAGTGACAGTAACAAGGGGCTTCCATCAGAATGTCTGGAATCCATCTGAGATTGTCCTGCTCCGGCTCGGGTCAACATCTTTAAGCTTCACCCCCGCTGAGGTTCACATTTCACCCAACTGTATACCCTGACAACAGGGACCCAGTTTCCACTAATAGCATGTGTAACAAATGCCTCCAATCCCTCAATTTATATTTCTGTCCTGCCTCACCTCACCTGACCCCTGCAAAAATAATGAACTCAAAGATAATGGCCCCCCATTACGTTTTTTAATGGCTGAAATAATTTAAGACCATGCCTTAAGGGCCACTCCAACAACTTCACACACAACCAGTGAACTACATTCAAGGAATACTTTGCAGCCTGTGAAACAAAATGTACCTGTATGTTAAGTGTCTCCTGTGTATCTGAGGGTTTATCAAGATTGATATGAGGTCATAGTAGTGATGTCATTTGGGTTATCCCGACCTTGATTAAGGAACCACACACAATAAACAAAATGTTTTACTGAGACTGGAAGTTGGTTTTGAAAGATGTGGGCAACCTCACTGACAAATCCAAAAATGCTATTTAATTGCATATTGGGACATGTAAAGTCCAGTGTTATTGGAGTTTGGCCCATAATAAGAATCAGTCTAACCCGATCTCTCCTGTTTTGTTTTAGCCTTTCTTTGTTTTGAGTTACCCACTAATAAAATGTTTTTCATATTGGTAATTGACTTTTACTGTGCACATTGCTGCAGGATGTGTATAGGCTTGTATACACTTTTCTGTAGAAAAAACAAAAACCATATCAGACACATGTCTGCCTTTTATATTCCAATCATAGTCATTTTAAATACACTAAATAATGCCAGTACCATTCAGAAGTCTAGTTGAAAATGGTGGTTTGTAGGACAAACAAGCATACAGTTGGCTTGTTTGAGGTCACAGTTACCACCCAGTCTACGGTAAAACAAACAATGACTAGGCCTATATTTGAGCAGGTGGTGATATTTGGATACCTTTCACAGGGAATTCTCCTTTCTTCCTCTCTTTGTTTTTGGCTTTAAACCAATATGTGAAGGGCAATAACTTATCACCCGGACTGATAATCGTATGCCAACCAATAATTTAATACTTTTTTAGACCTATAAAAAAACGTTCTAACGTGAGGTAATGGCTCTTACAAATAATCACACGTGACAAAATGTTTTCTGTACAAATATAAATTATATTAATTAATTCAACCCCATTTGTAGTTCAGTGGACAGCGGGTGGACTACAAAGCGTTTGGTCCATTAATAGTGACGCATTTCCTCTTTGCCCCAGTGTACCCCCCCTCCCCATTAACACACAAACTCACACACACACAGTGCCGCTGCTGCTGCTCAAACACTGTCCAGCCACTTGGAAATTTCCCTCAACGCGGAGGATATTGTACTGCTGAGGAGCGGGACTGTCGGTTTATGTGCATCTTCTCAGGGCTGCCTTTCTTGAAATGCCCCAGTAGAGGATCTGAAGGTAGGTGTACAACCCTGTAATCCGATTATTCTGCTGGCCATCTCCCCCGCAGCAGACGAACAGATCTGCCTGACCTTCTCTCCGACCAAAGCGTTATAATAAAAACCTCACGCTGTGTGTGTGCGAGCCCGGCGTGAGTGCCTGTCTGCCGGATGGGAGCCCCTCTGTGACCGCTTCACATGTCTGCTCCTCCGGCTCTTTTTAAATGTATCGCTGCTACAGCCGAAGTTCAGGGGCTCCCATGCTCATTTGAATCAACCAAACTTGTGGAGCCTTTTTAATTGCCGACTTCTCCAGTGGCACCGGTTTTGGCGATTTATTTTTGGCAAAGCTGTTTTTGGTGTGTTTTGTGGTGGGTGTGCAGAGTCATAAAGGCATAGAGAGTTCACGGAGGGGCTGGTAACATTGCACTGGCCAAGGGAAAGCCAGCCTCCGCCATGTTAAATGACCATCTCATTCAATCCTCCACTCATGCCACATGCAATTGTTGTCAACTTTTGTTAAAATAAAAACATTTCGTCAATAATGCCATGTCTGCCACGCAAATTAAAGGGCGGCCACCTGTGTAAAGCGCGTGGAAGCAGCTCCTCCATATGGGGAATCCAAGGCTTCAGTTCACTACACCGTTAAACATTATAGCCTGCAGGGGAACTCATGTGGTTGCTACAGTACAATAAGAGCAGCATGGGGGGAAAAGTGCGACATGTAGAATAATGTATGGCTTCTCTGCAGCAGCAGCTATCCTTCCAGGCTATATTGCATGAATTGTGGGGATGGCTGCCTGTGTCTCCTACGCTGCCACACCCCTTTATAGAAATACAAGGCTTTCATAGCCTACAATTTGCAGAAGTTATATTATCTCATGCTAGATGTGTTATAATTATGATCACTGCAGGGAATTTCATGAGTATGTCCTCCTTTTTGCCAATTAATTAAATGATCACTTGTTTATGTGCCAAGTTTGTGCTCTAGGGTCAGTACACTCCATAGTAGTATTGCAATGAGAGGATGAGTGGCAGATTAATTGTATTAAGGCAGTGCCCTGTGTGGGACTGTGAGGCAGACGGGTCATATGAGATGGGGGCACCGATGAACCAAGACATGCCTGCGATGCAAGTGAGTTTCTCTGGCTGTTTAATGGGCAAAAGTAAACACACACACACACACACACACACACACACACACACACACACACACACACACACACACACACACACACACACACACACACACACACCATTCCCCTCTCCCCCCTGGTTGCATAGACCTTGGCTTGTCAGAAAAAGGCACATGACCTTATGCTGCAGGCGGCTCCAATGTGTGTGTGATTCCTGAGGAACGAGTGGTCTCCTCTGACTGTTTCTTTACACATCCTCTAGGTATGTCTAGCACCAGCCCGCGTTGAGATCTGTCTGGGTGTAAGGACAGCATGTCTGGTGGGAAAGGTTGGCAGTTATTAGATTTAAAAAAAATCTATAGTTAATAAAGGTGTGAAGAAAATTGCTACGGCACAAGAATGTCATCCCATCCTCTCAATTTACCCGATGTTAAAATCTGTCCTTTCAAAATGGCAGCTCTCGTCTAATGAGCCATGCCCCTGTCACCGCACTGATCAGTTAT